GTTGTTGTTAGTAACATCACTAGATTCCAAATATATCTGTCTTCAGCCCATACTCACAGCAGTCCCTACTGCCAATGCCAACATTTCTCAGGTTTGGGGAATCAGAGACATAGTACAACGGGCACAGTACTTGCCTTGCACGTGGCTAACCCGGAAGCAATCCCTGGCATCCCACATGTCCCCAAGCCCACCAGGAGTGATTCCTGGGTGTAGAGACAGAAGTAACCTCTGATCATTGCCTAGTATACTCCCTCCCCCCCAAAAAAACATTTCTCACCATCCCCATCATCACTAGCATCCCCGATCACTGCCATCCCCCATCCCTACCATCCCCCATCCCTACCATCCCATCACTACTACTCCCCATCTTCACTACCATCCCCATCACTACCATCCCCCGCCATCACTACAATGCCACCACCAACCCATCTCACCTCCTCTCCGATAATTAAAAACTATTCTGAATCCCAGGCTTCCCCTCCTCTCACTGATTGCTGTTCCAGGTTTAAACCCGTGGAAGTATTCTTCCAACACGCATGTTCAAACCCCATACAAGACACGCAGGGTCCCCAGAACCTGTACTCATATATATCTGTTTCTTGGGGGGAGCACATCCTGCACTGCTCGGGGGCTGTTCCTGTACTCAGGGATCACTCCTGGCGGTGCTCAGGGAACCAGTGGGGTGTCAGGCTGGGACTAGAATCGACTGTGCGCAAGGCAAGAAAGTGGATTACCTCCGTGCCCCCTCTCCGGCCTGAGCAGCCACCTGTCCTTGCCAACTTACCGGCCTGTTCCTCACACACACAGTCTTGGCAAGCTGTCTCCGATTTCCTGCTGCTGTTCCTCTGTGAGGGTGGCATCTTTACGTGGAATTCTCCTCCTCTGCCTTCTGCCCCAACGAACTGCTCACATCTCAAGGGGCCAACTATCTGATGAAGGAAGGAAGGCGGAGGGAGGCATGCCTTACTGGGCACAGTGCGTCCAGGGGAGCGCCTGACAAGCTAGTCTAACCCTCGAAGCCCACAACGCCTGACGTCGACAGCCACCTCTGTGGAAGGAGCTGCACGACAGCCAAGGGGGCTTTGCCCAAAATGCGGGCATTTCCCAAACCAGCACCTGGGCTGAATTCCCAGTCGCCGCACTAGGATTCACGTGAGTGCAGCACATTACGCATTTGGTGCCTGGATCTTTCCTCTGCAGGGCAGTGCTATCGCTTCACTGCAGTGAGAATTCCGTGAGACAGCGAGGTGCTGAGTATCTGGCACAGAGTAAACACTGTTAGCGCGACATACGCTGCGACATGTGGACTCTGACCGTGTCCGCTCTATGTTCTCACTGTTCCCTAACCAACTGGCACAGGGCAAAAGCCCTATAAAGCCTGACACCGCCTCCATACATGAGGGCAGAGCGAGGCGCTTCCCTGCTCAAGGCCGACCCGGTTCCATCTCAAGCACCGCCAAGAGTGCCCGGAGCCCAGATGCAAGCCCCCCCCTCCCCCAGAAAGTAAGAGCCATTTCCAGAATACGCGAATTTCCCAACAACGACGAGCCACCACGCTGCACAGGAAGAAACTCCCTTTCTTCTGTTTCCTCCTCCTGACCGCCGCCATGCTCGCCCCTTGCTTTCCCTTCTCCCATCATGCGACGCCGCCATACGCAATGCCACTCGGCAACCCTCATCAGACGGGGCAAAACACTCTCTTGACTCAAACTCATTTTGCCTCCTGCCTGACGCTGCTGAAATTCCCAAAAGCACTCTCTGACCGACACACCGACCACCCTGGCGTCCACCAACAAGAAGGGAGCGTGGCCTGAGAGCCAAGGAGCTAGTTCTCTCTGTAAATCTTTCACTGCAAGGACAGTGAAATGTCTTCCTAGTCAACCTAAGTTAAATACATAAATTTATCATACCCTCAGCCCTGCTCTTAGTTTGCTAAAATTAGTGCCTAAAAAAAAAAAAACCTTCTGATAAATCTGTTCCTCTGGAAGTGGAGACAGCATGCAGGGCTGAGCAGTTTGTGCTCTGCCTGAGGGGGTCCTGGTTAGAGTCCCACCCACCCCAAACTGAGCTGGGGAAGAGCCCCAGAGCACTGCCAGGGGTGGCCCCAAGATGAAATCTATTACTCTCCTATGCAGAAAAACGCCAAAGAAAGTGGGCCCTAGGAAGCTGCAGTTAAAGTGCAGTCGTGGGGCGTCTGCCTCACATAGGGTTGACCCAGGTTCGATTCCCAGCGTTCCATACGATGTCCTGAGCACTGCTAGGAGTGAACGATCACTGAGTGCAGAGGTAAGCCCTGAGTACCAGTGGGGGACCCAAAAAAAGAGGAAGGAAGGAAGGAAGGAAGGAAGGAAGGAAGGAAGGAAGGGAGGGAGGGAGGGAGGGAAACGAGGAAGAAGTTAAGGAAAAGGAGATGAGAAAAGAAAAGAGAAAAAGAAAAGAAGAGAAGAGAAAAAGAAAAGAGAGAGCACAGGAGCCAACCCGCTGGCCAAATGCTAGTTACATTCCTCCACATTACTTTAAGGAAAGTGCTTTAAGCAAAGACGGCTAATACCTTACTCCAAATCCCTCCATATTAAACCTCACAAAGCCAGATTCTATCCATCTGAATTAAAGTTCACATGGAGGGGCCAGAACACAGCAAAACAGGCTTTCGCTATGCACATGGTCGGACCTGGGTTCTATCCCTGGCATCCGATATGGAGCCCAGAGCACCGCCAGGGGCAATTCCTGAGTCAGGAGTAACCCCTGAGCATCACCAGGTGTGGCCAAAAAAAAACAACAAAACAACAACAAAATTCACCTGGAGGGGCCGGAGCATAGCACGTGTTTGCCGTGTTTGCCTTGCACACGGCCGACCCGGGTTCGATCCCAGGCATCCCATATGGTCCCCTAAGCACTGCCAGGAGAGATTCCTGAGTTCAGAGCGAGGAGTGACCCCTGAGCATTGCTGGGTGTGATCCAAAAAGGCAAAAAAAAAAAAAAAATTCACCTGGAGAGATCAAGCTGACTGGCTCAAATAATGAATATAAATATAAAGAAGTAAAAAATATAAATAAATTACTTTTTGTTTGTTTGTTTGCTTTGTTTCTGTTTGGGGGCTACACCTGGCTATGTTCAAGACTCTGTAATCAGGACCCACCAGGGATTCAGGGGATTAGATACAGAGTCAGGAATTGAACCCAGGTCAGCTACAAACAAAGCAAGTGCCTACTATCTCCCAGGCCCAACTCTCATTTCTTTTTTTTTTTTTTTTTTTGGTGGTTGTTGTTTTTGGACCACACCTAGCAGTGCTCAGGGGATTCTTCTGACCTTGCTTTCAGTGACCACTCCTGGTGGTACTTGGGGGACTGGGATTGGGCGATGGGGTATTCGGCCAGTGCAAGGCAAATGCTATAACTCAAGCCCCCCGGCTATCGTTTCTAACAGAGGGCAAGAATTGGACTTCCGTTGAACCAAGATTGTTTTCTAAGCTTGACTATATAACAGACACACTTTACTTCAAAGAATTTCGAATAATTCTTATAATGCGTCCTCTCTACAAATACCATTACAGATTAAGGACCCAAACCTGAAATCTGAAATCCCGAATTTGTGACAGTGCTTTGGCATAACAATCCACAATACCGTAAGCGTCTACATCTTCCTCATCATACACACATACTTTCAAAAAAAGAAAACTTTCTGAATTAACATTTACTTCCTAGAAAATCTTACGGGTTTTTTCCCCCTTTCTTTTCTCTCTCTCCTTCTGGCTTCTCCTTTCTCTTCCTTTCCAGGGTTAACGTCAATGGACTAAATTGATTCTCAAGTCCATTAATAAGTACCCAGGGGAGCTGCACTAAAGCTCTAACATTCCTCACCTCCTGTTTAAAGTTCTTTTTTAACTCTCGCCGCGGCTCGATTTGGTTGCTCTGGAGCGGAGCTAATCTCGTTGACCCAACAAAGGTCCTTCGCGCTTGGGAAATGGTTCAAAGGGCCAAGCGAGTGCGCCCTGCGCGGGACCCCCGGGCGGGGCAGGGCTCCACGCGGGGCGGGTCCTCCGCGGCTGCAGGGGCCCCTGGGGCTGTCGGGGTGAGACTCCCCACAACCGCCACCGAAGATGCCGCCGCTGATGAGGATGAGGAGGATGAGGATGAGGAGGATGGTCGTCCTGCTCGAAATCCCGGAAAGCCCATGCCTCACATCTGGGTCCATCTGCCCCTCCCCTAGGATTCCTCCAAGTCCCCCCCCACACACACACACCCCGTTTCTCTGGGCCCGGCCGAGTCCCCGGCAGCGGACAGACGCGCTCCCGGCGGGGACAGCAGACCATGGTCGCCGCTGGAATGCGCGGCGCTCGCGGGCCAGGGGTTCCGCGCCCGGCAGGTCGGGGCGAGGCGCGAGCCGGCCAAGGACCCCGGGCAGCAGCTGCCCGCGGTGCTGAACCTCGAGATGCAGCGATAGTTCTGGAACCTGGCGAGAGCGAGCGCGAGCAAGAGCGCGAGCCAGCCCCGCCGGCCCGGATCGGTCCGCACAAGTTGCGCGGCGCTCGGCGGCGCTCGGCGGGGCCTGTCCACTGCCTCCGTCCTGGGCCAGCGGCGCCCACGGGGCCCGGAACCCCAGGGAGGGCGGGGGCTGGGCGCCCCCAACACGCGCGCCTCCCCGCGACCCGAACTTCAACGGGGGGAGGGGCGAAGGGTTGTAAGGGAGGAGAGCCCCTCCCCCCACCGCCCCGAAGGCCGGTGGGCCGGGCCCGGGGACGGCGCGCCAGAGCCGGGGCCGGACAGCCCCTCGCGGGCGCCTTCCCGGGGGGAGCGGGCCGGCAGAGCAGACCACAGGTCAGCCCCCGACTCTAGACACGGGAGCAGAGCCGGAAAGCCCCCCGCCCCGAAGGCTGACAGGCCGCTGCCCTTTTTGCAACAGCCCAGATTCCCCGCGACCCCCAGCCGTGCGTGGGGGAGGGAAGCGGGGGGCTGCGAGCCGCCCGGGGTGCCCCGCCGCCCCCCGGGACGGAGTCCTACCTGGACGCCGGCCCCGCGACGGCGACGAGAGGCGAGGCGGCCGCGGCGCTGCGGGAGGGGCCCTAGCGCGACCCCATGGCTGCAGCTCCGCCCCGACCCCGCAGCCCGGACTGCCGGCGGCGCGGACGACAACACCCCGCCGGGCGGAAGTCCCGCCCCGCGCGCCCCATTGGCCCGCGCCGGGAGGCGGCGCCAGCCCATTGGGCCGCGGAGCTGCTCGTCGGCGCCGCTTCCCACTCGCGCGCCGGCTGCCCCGGGCCGCTCCGGCCCCGCTCGCGGACGGCGCCGGGTTCGCGTCCGGTCGTCGCGCTCGGACCCGCGCGGTCGGGGCGGGAAGGGCCGGGTGGGCGGGCTGGGGCGGCGCGAGGGCGCCTGCCGCCCGCCCGCGGGCCCCCGAGCGGGACCCCCGCGACCCGGGCGCACCTGGCGGGGGCGGGGCGGGGCTTCCCAAGACCGGCCCGCTGGACACTCGCCCCGCGGGGGCCCCGCACCCCTTCGGCGCCGGCTCCGCGCGGCGATCGCGAGGGCGGGCCGAGCCCCCACGTCTGGGTCGCGTCGTCTGAGGCGCCGGCCGCCCGAGGGCCGGACGCCAGTGCCCGGGAGCTGCTGGCCCGCCGCCAGGCTGACGTCAGCGCTGCGTGCGGGCACGCGCCGTCCCCGGGGCCGGCCAGCCCGCCGCGGACCGGGCCACCGAACCCCGCCCGGCCCTGCCCGGGGGAGCCCACCCGGCCGGTCTCGGGCCTTGGCCGGCCGGACCGGACCACTCGCTCCGGTGAACCAGTCGCCGATTAGCCACGCGGTGGGGCTGGGTGCCCGGTTTGCCTGGGTCCTGTGTCGGATGCCCGGAGATGTGACACGGACGCCTGCCCCGGCCTCTCACCCGGGCGCCCTTAAAAGACCTGCGCGGGGACCGGAGGGCGCGCTTTGCAGGCCGCAGGGTCAGGTCGATCTCCGGACCGCAGGTTAGAGCATCTTGAGGTCGCGCGAGCGACGCCAGAGGTGACCCTGGGGCTCCAGCTGGGAGTAGCCCCTGAGCTGCTGGACGCACACACGCGCACGCACGCTCCCACGGGGCACGTGCGCGCGCGCACACACACACACATGCACACACACACACACGCACACACACGCACACACACACACACACGGTTTTCTTACAAGCTTGCTATCTTTCAGCCTCAACTTCAAAGTAAAGGAAGAAGCAAAGGGCAGTCTCCTCCAGGACCTGAAGAATGCCAATGGATGTCACTGGACCTTTGGGGACTTCTGAACCACTGGAGCACAGGAGGTTCGGGAAGCCTCTTGCCCTATTAATAGTGTATCGTTTTGCGATTTTTAAAAAAGTGTTTTCACTTTATTTTTGCATCACGCCTGGTGATGCTCAGGGGTCTTACTCCTGCCTGTGCCCGAGGGACTATATAGGGTGCCAAGAATTGAACCCAGGTCCCCTGCATGCAAGGCAGATGCCCTTATCTGCTGTACTCAGGCCCCACAACTTTGATTGTTATTTTATTTTATATGGCTTTTGGGAGTCATACCTGGCGATGCTCAGGGGTTACTCCTGGCTCTGCACTGAAGAACTACTCCTGGCAGTGCGCAGGGGACCATATGGGATGCCCAGAATCGAATGCAGGTTCACCATGTGCAAGGCAAATGCCCTCCCTATTGTACTATCACTCAAGCCTTTTGCAACTTTCTTTCTTTTCTTTTTCTTTTTTTTCTTTCTTTTTTTTTTTTAGTGAATAAAATAGTTTTATTTACAGATATTTTCTGAGAGAAATGTAAGGAGAGCAAAAGAGGGAAATACAGCTCCCGAAGAGAGAAGACAGGCTTAAAGAGGGAAAGCTAAAAACACACAGCTCAGGTTGGAGAATGAGCCCTGCCTGGCTCTACAAAGTTGGTTACTTCGTCGGGCGTCCTTCACACTGCCTCATCCTTCACACTGCCTTGGGTTGGAGTTCTCTGTGTGCAGAAAAGTTAAGCTGGCTGTTGTCTCTGAAGAAAAAGCCTTGGGTTCTCGATATCCTATTCCAACCATGACCTTTAAATTCTTTTGAAGCTTCTTTTCTAGTCCCTTTGCAACTTTTAAATTTTACTTTATTTTTTGTGACACTGGAGGTTGATATTTTGGGTAATGGGGAGTGGGAACTGGCTCCTTGCCTGCATAGCATCCCTCTGGCTCCCAAGAAAAGTTTAAGTAAAACGAGCAATAAAATACTTAACAAAGGAACAGAGGACACTTCTCAAGATCAGCACAAGAAATCAGGATGCTGGCTAGAGAGACAGAACCAGGATTAAGACACTTGCCTTTACCCATATTCCAACAACCATGGGAGTGACCCCCACTGGGTATGGCTCCGACTGCCCCAACCTGAGAAAAGGAAATTCGAATGCCACAGCTAAATTGCTACACACCAGCGGCCCCTGAAAGGGCTGAGCACAGGCTTGGCATGTAGGGGCCCAGGTTTTAATCACCAGCACTATGTGACCCCTGAGCACTGCTTGGAGTAATCCCTGAACAACACCAAGTATAAACTCCCCCCTCCCCCCCCAAAAAAAAGACACTGAAAACAAACAACATTTTTCAGGGGAAAGATAATTTTTTGTTTGTTTTTGGGCCACACCCTGTATTGCTCAGTGATTACTCCTACTCTGTGCTCAGGGATTACTCCTGGAGGGGTTCAGGGGACCCTATGGGGTGCCGGGGATAGAATCTAGGTTGACTGTGTGCAAGGGGAGTGCCCTGCCCACTGTACTTCTGCTCCAGACCCTGGGAAGGAGTGTCTAAAAGTCCTCAGAGGGCTTTTAGTACAGCAGGTTGGCGCTTGTGGCTGACCCAGGTTCCGTCCCCAATCCTCTTGGTGCCCTCAGTGCAGAGCCAGGACTAAGCCCTGAGCAAAGCTCGTGCTGTTGAGCTGTTTTTCTGTTATCTTACTAAAATACTTCCTGCTGTTGTTTTGTTTTGGGATTGCTCCGACTGGTGCTCAGGGGCTACACCAGGGTCAGGGCTCCTGAGTTGCTACTGGCAGTGCTCCAGATATGTTAGTTCATAAAATTCTTACGAACTTTCATGTAATTAAAAGCTGCTTACCTTGTTCTGTGGCATGAGTATAACTTGATACCAAAACTGAACTTATTACTCATATCCAAGTGATAAAAATGATAGCCAGTCTTACTTTTACTCTGAATGACTATGTAGAAATTCCAAATAAAACATTGAAAAATGAAGCCTTATAACACGTCATTTAAAAGGCAACGACTAAACAGTGATAATTCCTGAAGCTGGGATAATATAATAAAATATACTGTTATGATTCAGCACACCAGTCTGTACATTAAACTGCAAATCTGCATCTCCAGATGAGAGAGAAAGAGACAGAAAAATCTCCTCGAAAAACTGAGATAAACAGACACGTAAGGAATGTGGATTAAATCTCCTTGAAAAACTGAGATAAACCGATACATAAGGAGTGTGGGTTCTGGGCCTAGAGCAAGAACTCGGGGTGGGGGGGAGAGGGGCTTTTGCACTGCATGAGCCAGACCCGGGTTCAATTCTCGGCACCACATCCTGTCCCCTGAGCCCACCAGGAGTGATTCCTGAGCACAGTCAGATGTGCTCACCCCACCCCCCGAAAAATAGAAGGTAGGTTCTGGGTCTGGAGAACTAGAGAAAAAACTGATGCAGTTGCCTCACAAGTTTGTGGTCACAAGTTCAAATCCCCAGTGTTCCCCACGGTCTCCCAGAACTTTCAGGAATGCACCCCCCACCCACACCACCAAGACCAAAACAGGGACTGGAGAGATAGCACAGAGGGTGAAGGGCTTACTTGGACCACAGCTGACCTGGAATCAATTCCAGCACCACATATGTTCTCCCAGCCCCCACCTGAAATGATCTCTGAGCACAGGCCTAAGAGTAAGCCCTGAGCACTGCTGAGTGTGACTCCAAAACAATGATCATGATCATCCTGTTGTTCGTCAATTGCCTCGAGCAGGCACCATTAACGTCTCCTTCGCCCTGGCCCTGAGATTTTAAAAAGTGCCATATTCAAGGCTCTTTCAGGGTTAGGAGAATGAGACCCATCATTGTTACTGGTATTTGGCATATTGGGTACGCCACGGGGAGTTTGCCAGACTCTGCGGTGTGGGCAGGTTACATTTGGTAGCCTGCCAGGTGGTCCAAAGTAAGAATGAGATAATTAGATATCGCGCGGCTGCAAGTGTGGCCGCACACTTCCAAGAACTGGGTTTTATAGTCTGGGTGAAGGATCTGGGTGGAGGATGCTCAGCCCCGATCCAAGCAGGCTTGGAGATCTCAGCCCTGGGGCCCGCATGCCTTTGTTCCTCTGCCGGTACCTTCATGTGTGTGGAGAATGGTCTCAGCATGGTTGTGGCTGGTTCTGGAGGTCTTCAGCTGCCGGGGCTCTGCTCAGGGCGGGGAGGGAAACTCAACCCGTCCCCATCCAAGGGGCCCTGGCAAGAACAGCCAGGCATGGGGGCAGGAGACTCTGCACTGTTCTCTTCCGGGAGCTCCAAAACAAACAAACAAAAATGAATGTGGGTTTTTTTTTTTTTTTGCTTTTGGGGTCACACCCAGCAATGCTCAGGGGTTACTCCTGGCTCTGCATTCAGGAATTACTCCTGGTGGTGCTAGTGGACCATATGGGATGCCAGGGATCGAACCCAGTTAGGCCGCATGCAAGGTAAACACCCTACCCACCTTACTCTCGCTCTGGCCCTGAGTGTGGGTTCTTAGGCCAGAGAGCAAGTAAGGAATAAGGTACTTGCCTGTGTCCTACCAATTCCTACCAACCCCAGTTCAAATCCCTGAGCACAGAGCCAGAAATAGCCCTATGAACCACTGGATGGCCCCAAAACACACACAGGATCCTCCACCCAGACTATAAAAAGAATGTGGGTTCTCAGAGCTGGAGAGATAATTCAAAGTCCTGAATGCATGCTTTGCATGCTTGCAATCCCATTTTTATTCCCAGTGCCACACGCTCCTCTGAGCACTTCAAGGAAGCAACCACCAAGTCCAGCATCACTGATTGTGGCCCAACCCTTTTCCTTTAAAAAATACGATTGTAGGGGTCAGAGAGATAGTGCAGTGGGTCGG